GGGGGGGGGAAGGGGGCAGTCTCGAAGTTCCCATGATTTTTGTGTGGAAAGCAGAACTGAGCGGAAGCACCCCCCCCCTCCAAGATCACAATCTTGAGCCGGGAATGGTAGCACACTCCTGTAATCCCAGCCCTGGGGAGGGGGGAGTGGGAAAGAGGTAGATGGATCGTGAAATCAAGGGTGGGGGCCCCCTGATCTAGCCAGCCACTATCCAAACAAAGACACCCATGGTCCAGCCAGCCCAGTGGAATGGTCACCAAGGTGAGTGGGACCCGGGTTTTTAAGAGGTTGTCACGCACGCACGCACGCACGCACACGCACACACACACACACACATGCACACACACAGGCACACACACAGGCCCACTCCGGAACTGTTTCCAAAATGGATCCCAGCTAATCCCTCCCCAACAACCAGCAGGCTCCACATTCACAATCCTTTTATTATTATTATTTTTTTCTCCTTCTGTTCTCAAGCAAAAGAGCGCTCTTGTCTCTCCCCGAGGGCCACGCACGCGGTGGGCACCATTCACCCACGCCAGGACTTGTTCTCCATCCTCTTAATTCCCCCCCACCCCCCCCCACCCCTCATCCTTCAGGATTCTCAACAGCCCTCGGCCCGGGGCTGCGGCGCTGCCGGGCCATTGATGGCGGTGCCACGCGATGCTTGTCCCTCTCTCCGCTTCGTGCTAAAGATTGAGAACGGCTTTTGTTCTCTGGAGGAGCTGGTAGACGGAGACTCACTTCACGCGGCCCCACACAACAAAGCGGAGCCCCAAAAATCAACATCAGAAAGAAAAAAACACACACAACTTCTTCCACTTGCCACCCACAAATCCGTCTGAAGCACCCAAAAGAAGCCATCGATCGCCACGCAACGCAGCTGCGGCGGGGGAGGCCTGGCGGCGCCGGCGGGCGGCTGTGTGATAGGGGGTTCAGTTTCCTTTCCACACCGAGTTCCCCAAGGAACATGGTCCTGGGGTTCCTGGGTGAGGGAAACTGAGGCACTCAACTCGTCGTGGGATCTAGAGATGACAAGTCATGTGGTTTTACTTCTCCCTGATGTAGGAAAAGCGTGGGGGGGGGGGGTGTTCTGTGAAAATCCGGGGCTCTGGGCACGTGGAGAGATGTAAGCCAGGTGTGAGCTTGGGTCTCCCACAACCAGTGAACATAGCGTTGATGACCCGGCGGTTCGTTCTTATTTACAACCACGCCCGCTACCCTTTCTCAGGGGCCGACGAGAGTCCATTTTCCTCCGTGTGGGAATTCTCCACACTTGCCTCGTGTACCAGTGGCGGCGCGGAAGGTCTAAGCTTAAAAAAAAAAAATTGATTTTTGCCAGCCGGGCATGGTAGCGCCTACCTATAATCCCAGCAACTTGGGAAGTAGAGGATAAGAGGATCATGGTTTTAGTACAATCCAGGCCAAAAAACAAAAATGTGGAGCTGGGCGCCGGTGGCTCACGCTTCTCATCCTAGCGACTCAGGAGTCTGAGATCTGAGGATCGAGGTTCGAAGCCAGCCTGGGCAGGAAAGTCCATGAGACTCTGATCTCCAATGAACCACCAGAAAACCAGAAGTGGCGCCGTGGCTCAAGTGGTAGAGCGCTTGCCTTGAGCTGAAGAGCGCAGGGACAGCGCCCAGGCCCAGAGTTCAAGCCCCATGACCGACCAGAAAAGGAAGGAAGGAAGGAAGACAGAGGACTCAGTCTAAAACAGACACCAGAGCTGAAAGGAGGGAGGTGGGGGTGGGGGGAGGCGGAAGGCGGCTCTGGGGTTAGAACACTTAGCCTACTAGCAAACACAAAACCCTCCGTTCGAATCCCGAGACTGCAAGAAGTAAAAGCGAATGCTAGATGGCTTTGAGAAAATAAGGTGGTGCCCTCCTCACCACCCCACACCCTGGAATATTCCAAAGCAGAGGCAAGTTCTTTGAACGGAGCCACGGGCCCCGCATGACAAGATGGCTGCCCTTCCCCAGCTCCACGCGACTTTGTATGAGAAGCAGGCGAGCCAGCGCCAGGCCGCGCTCCTGCAAATAACCAGGACCCCACCAAGAAAGACACCCCAGGTTCACCATCCGATCAGGGAGGCCTGTGAACGCAACAAGTGTGTCTCTGCACGCAAGTCTGATTCAAAGCAAAGCCAGGGGCTGGGAAGGTGGCTCAGTGGTAGAGTGCTCGCTTAGCACGCAGGAAGCCCTGGGTTCGAATCCTCAGCGCCACAGACAGAGAAAAAAAGCCGGAGGTGGTTCTGTGGCTCAAATGGTAGAGCTTACTCTGAGCAAAAGCAGCTCAGGGACAGTGCTCAGGTCCTGAGTTCAAGCCCCGGGACTGGCAAAAGAAAAGCCAGGCTGGGCCAGGGCACCGGTGGCTCACGCCTGTAATCCTAGCTACTCAGGAGGCTGAGATCTGAGGATCACGGTTCAAAGCCAGCCCGGGCAGTAAAGTCCACGAGACTCTAATCTCCAATGAACCACCAGAAAACCAGAAGTGGCGCTGTGGCTCAAGTGGTAGAGCGCTCGCCTTGAACACCAAGAGGCTCGGGGACAGCGCCCAGGCCCTGAGTTCAAACCCCAGGACTGGAGCGAAAAAGAACAGGAAAAGAAGGTCCTGAAAGGGAAAAGGTGGGTGGAAAGCCCCAGGGACCCACACTGGGCACGTCTTGGTGTTCTGGGGGGCGTAGAGGGGGGGAGATCAGGTCCTCAAAGGGGACCCAGCCCCAAGCTCCAGGAGTCGTTCCCCGTGATAGCGAAATAGAACGGGAGGAAGACGGAGAACGCTTTCCCTTCCTTCCTATCCGGCCCACGGTCAGCCACCCCAGGCGCACAGAGACTCGCGCTGTGGGTTACGGTGAGGAAGAAAAGGGGGGTGCTGGGGGTGGGGGGGACCGCAGGTGTGTGCAGAGTCCGGGCCGGAGCTAGACCCCGCCGCCCTCAAGCCGCCACCTGAGAACCAGGGTTCCAAGGCCAGCCAGGGAAGTCTGGGAGACTCTTAGCTCCAACGAATCACCCCCCAAAAAAAAAATTCAGACGTGGAGCTGCGGTTCCAGGGGTAGAGCGCCAAGCCTTGAGGGGAAAAGCTCAGAGAGAGAGTGCCCAGGCCCTGAGTTCAAGCCCAGGAGAGACACACACACACACAGTCAGGCCGGGTCCTGTGGGGCCTGCTTATAATCCCAGCTGAGGTCCCACAGGTGCTCTTCCCTGTTCAGGCCTCACGAGACGGCCGCAGAGACCTCCAGGCCCCCTAAGAATACCACACGGGGCCCCCCCAAACCCCCATTCCTGTTGTCGTCCATTAGCCAAACCATGTTTATCACGGAAGAGTCGGAAAAATGGCGTGAAAAACCACGGAATGGGGTGGTAATAAACACACGCTGCGGGGAGGGGGGGATGAGGGTGCCCGTGATTTGGGGGAGAACAAAGGAAGGGGGGGTGGCGTGAGGAAACACACTCACCTTTGGGGGGGGTCGGGAGGCTCAGTCTGGAGGCGAGTTGTGTCTGGGCCTGTCTTCCCCTCACAGATTAAGAGAGAGCAAGGGTTCTGGAAGCTTCTCTGGGTTGTGGAAGCTTCTGGTGCGTCTGGCTGCTGCACTATGGGGGGGGGGGGGTTATAAAGCAGCGCTGGCCCGCAGGTGTCTCTGATTATCCGCCCACGGGCTCCACCGCAGGTGAGCCTACTTGAATGCGGTTGGCTGGCCGGCCGGCCTTTCCTCCAATGAGGCTGCGGGGCGGGCTCGGCGGCTCACACCTGTCAGTCTGCCCTCATCAGGAGACTTCAGCCTGCGAGGACGGAGGTTCGAGACTCGCCCAAGCCAGAATAATAATTAAGAATTTAAAAAAAGATTTGGGCAACTTCATCTCAACGAGTAAGCAGTCGAGCGTGGTGGTGTCTGCCTGTAGCCCTGGGCACCCGGGGAAGGATTTCAATGAGATGATGGCGATCTGGGCCACACACACACAGACACACAGACACACAGACACACA